ATCGAAAATCGGATTTGGTGTGAAAAAACCTGAGATTTTTTTTTTTTTTTAGCCATATAGCTTAGCCCTACGATATCCATATTTTATACCAGTGCAATATCCCTATCTTATACCTGAATGTGCAATATACAGCTGCTAATTAACAGATGCTAACATACTGCTGCTAATGTATAGATTTAAACATACTGCTGCTAATGTACAGAATCAGAATCCGAATCATTTTTATTGCCACGTAAGTAACAGGAAGTCACAGACTTGGAAATTGCTTTGGCTCAGTGCAACAGTCAGAAAGAGATAAAAAAAATAAAGAATAAAAAACACTTCTAAGGAATCAATTTAAAATTTTAATTGTTACAGTTACTATTTACAATGTAACATGGTGCACACAATGTAAGGTGACAGCAGTACAGTGAAGTAAAGTGACGTATGATGGGCAGTAAAGTGACTTTATAAAGGGTGGAGGGACAGGTTAAGAAGTGTTCAAGAGTCCAACAGCAGAGGGGAAGAAACTGTTCTTGTGGCGGGAGGTTCTAGTCCTGATGGACCGCAGTCTCCTGCCTGAGGGGAGTGGTTGGAATAGTCCATGTGCAGGGTGAGAGGGGTCGGCTGTGATACGACCAGCCCGGCCTTGAGCTCGGGCGACGTATAGGTCCTGCAGCGATGGAAGGCTGCGGCCGATCACTTCCTCTGCAGAGCGCACAATGCGCTGTAGTCTCTGTTTGTCCCTGACTGTGGCTCCAGCGAACCACACGTGATGGAGGAGGTGAGGATGAACTCAATGATGGCCGTGTAGAACTGCACCAACATCTGTGCAGGCAGCTTGGCTTTCCTGAGCTGCCGCAGGAAGTACATCCTCCGATGGGCCTTCTTGATGAGGGAGCTGATGGTCGGCTCCCACTTGAGGTCCTGGGTGATGGTGGTGCCCAGGAAACTGAAGGACTCCACAGAGGTAATGGGGGAGTCCATCACGGAGGGTGGGGGCGGGGGGGACAGTGCTCTTCCTGAAGTCTACAATCATCTCCACTGTCTTCTGGGCGTTCAGCTCCAGGTTGTTACCACTGCACCAGGACACCAGCCGATCTACCTCCCTCCTGTAGGCGGACTGAGATGAGTCCAATGAGGGTGGTGTCGTTCGCAAACTTGATCAGCTTCACGGAGTCGTGGCTGGAGGTGCAGTGGTTGGTGTACAGGGAGAAGAGCAGGGGAGAAAGAACACAGCCCTGTGGGGCTCCTGTATTTATAATCCGAGAGTCCGAGACATTCTTCCCCAGACGCACTCGCTGCTTCTTGTCTGTCAGGAAGTCAGTGATCCACCTGCAGGTGGAATCGGGCACGTTGAGCTTGTCCTGGAGCAGGGATGGCAAGATTGTGTTGAAGGCAGAGCTGAAGTCCACGAACAGGACCCTGGCGTAGGTCCCCGGGGAGTCCAGGTGCTGTAGGATGTGGTGGAGGGCCAGGTTAATGGCGTCGTCTACAGATCTGTTGGCTCTGTAGGCGAACTGCAGGGGGTCCAGGAGGGGGGAGGTGAGGGACTTGATATGGGAGAGGACCAGGCGTTCAAATGACTTCATGACGACAGACGTAAGTGCTACAGGTCTGTAGTCGTTGAGTCCTGTGATCCTGGGCTTCTTCGGGACGGGGACAATGATGGAGGATTTGAAGCAGGCCGGGACATGGCAGGACTGCAGAGAGGTGTTGAAAATGTCAGTGAACACAGGAGTAAGCTCACTGGCGCAGTGTCTCAGAGTGGCCGGAGACACGTGGTCTGGGCCAGAAGCTTTGCGAGGGTGCAGCCTCAAGAAGAGTTGTTGAATATCTTTAGAGGCTATTGTCAGGCTGGGGGCAGGGCTGATGGGTGGGTCGTTAGAGTAGTGGGGGGTGGGGGAGGTGTCAGGGGCAGCATCAAAGCGACTGAAAAATAAGTTCAGTTCGTCAGCTAGCTTGTGGTCGTCAGCACAGGGGGGGGCTTTGGGTTTGTAGTTGGTGATCTCCCGTAGGCCCCTCCAGACAGAAGCAGTATCGTTGTTACCAAACTGCTCCTGTAGTCGTTCTCTGTGCCGGGACTTGCCTGCTTTCAGTTCTTTCCTGAACTGATATTTAGCTGCTTTGTAGCCGCTGCGGTCCCCCTCCCTGAAAGCAGACTCCTTTGCTTTTCTGAGCTGCCGGAGTTTAGCAGTGAACCAGGGTTTGTTGTTGTTATAGATGACCCTGGTCCTTGTTTAAATTATGCTATCCTCGCAGAAGTGAATGTATGACGTCACAGTGTCCGTGTATTCATCCAAACTATCTGTGGCAGCTCTGAAAAGGTTCCAGTCTGTAGATTCCATGCATGTGCGCAGCTCTTCCACAGCCTCATCAGACCACACTTTGGAGCTCCTCACTGCAGGTTTCGAGAGCTTTAGTCTCTGTCTGTAAGCAGGAACCAGATGAATCATGGAGTGATCTGAGAAGCCGAGGGCTGCCTTGGGAACAGCGTGAAAAGCTCAGCGCACAGTGGTGTAACGGTGATCCAGAGTGTTCTCTTCTCTGGTCTGGCATTAGCACAGATGCTAACATATAACCACACTTTTACATCTATTATTATTTTCAAGATAGAGTTTTTATACTTATTAAAGATGCTAGAGTTAGAGATTTTGTTTTATTTAATTAGGACAGCTACTGTTCGGGTAACGTGTGCTGTGTGCTCCTCTTTCCTACTGTTCTGTAAGTTGTGATGCAACACTGAAATTTCCCCACTGTGGGACAAATAAAGGATCTCTTAATCTTAATCTTAAAACACAAATTCATAGATGTTACTTTTACTTAATTGTTGTTTAATTGATTACTAAATTATTTGACTATAGTGGTTATAGTCAGTAGCAATTATCTATTACATTTTTACAAGCTGAACGATTGATCACCTAGGAATTTTGTGAGAAAAGATTTAAAAAAAAAAAACAATTTAAGCTTTAATATTAAAATTTACTTTTAATCTTTAAAATTGTTGCTTAATAGGTTAGAACTCTATGAGGATGGTGGTGCTGTGGTTGACAAAGGGGCAATGCTGTACTGGTTGTCACACCTCACACACTGACCCATTTTGTGACTTTTGCCAGCTCCCTCTGCATGTAGGGCAGCAAGAAGACACTCATTTGTTTACTTGGTTCTTTTTAAACCCACCACAATCCAGGGACACGCAATAATTTTGTCAGTGAGTCAGAGCCCTTAATTTATCTTAGAGTTTGATGTGGGAGAGCTTCTCTTCAGAAGTGGGGCCTATAGTTAGCATCTTCTCCACAAGATTATATATATATATATATATATTCAAGTGAGTTATTCATTTGAAGCAAAGTTGTTGAAGTCACAGGGTTCTTGAACCATGACTATGACTATTCTTATATTAGGCTTTATTGACTGCTTGTGTCTTCGAGACGCCCATACTATGTATAATCATAAAGAGGGTGTTAATTACCCATATACACTCTTTCCTTATTTTTACTTTTTAAGAGAACGTTGCAGAATGCTGGTTTATCTAATTTCTTCAGCTTTCTTCAGCTTTTTAGCAGTGAACCAGGGTTTGTTGTTGTTATAGATGACCCTGGTCGTTTGTTGTTGTTATAGATGACCCTGGTCCTTGTTGGTCCTTTTTTAAGAATTGTATTCTTAAAAAAACCATTATGACGCCAAGTGTTTTCCATTTTACAAACTTAACGGCATTAGTGAGAAAGCATGCAAACATAAGTCAAGCATCAGCGACACATGCTAAGCACACTAATCCTCTGTGTGAGGCTGAGCAGAGACATGCACCTTAAGACCGACACAATGGAAAGTAAACAAGTGTATGCTCGCAAAACTAAATGAGATTAAGCCCGGAACTGCGAGTAAGGTCTGTGAGTGCAGTATCTTCCCTGCGATTAAAATAATGTGTAACTATCAAAAAAGGACTGAGAAATACTTCTGTGTACCTGTCACAATAGGTGACACACCTATTCATATCATTATGAATGGCAATATTGAAAAGCCTTATTACTAGGGATGCACCAATACTTTTCCAATATTTTTCAATACCGATAAGGGTACGCCGACTTTCGGAGATCTCCATGGCAACACGTACTGCACAGCTGTCTGCTGTCGGGATGCTAATGTAAATACAAAAAGGGTATCTGTTTGCCAGCCTCGGGTCCTATGGTATGAGTACGAGCCTATGTTATCAATCTGATACTGGTATTGGTTTTGGTACTTGTTACCCATTATACACATTCTCTCAGAGGGTATTATCCCAGATTGTTTATGTACATTTAATATCATTAAAATGAATCATAATTAGCCAATAAGGTAATGGTAGCCCTATGTACCAAATTGGGAGCATTTCTATCGGCTCTGTTTAACTGGTACCAGGTACTTTCTACTGTTTTAACTGACAGTGATTGGTCGGAGTGCTGCTGGAAGCCATGGTTACTAAAGAATTTCCCTGGATTACTGTTTGTTCTGAGTAGTTCTACTCAAAACAAACAATAATCCAGGGAAATTTCTTTAGGGAATATTCCGATATGGTACAGATACTGAAGCGTAATCGTAACGCAACCAGGTAGAGGAGAGCCAGGTAGAGTAGGGCGAGTGGAAATGGGGCTACTGATAACAATGCTGGGTTGAATAATTACTGTATTACACATTACACGTTAATTACATTTCTACAAAATAGAAATCAACTACTTGGCCTTTTTATAGAAGGTTAAGTCTTCATAGCAATTATTGTGATGGGCTTAGAGACGTAAAATAAATAAAACGTTGACCTGATTATGATATCACTTTTGCTGATTTATACCATTTATACAATTCCAGCTTTTGTTTTGTATCCTGCGCATTCTACAGACAGGAGACGGAGATGTCATACTTAGTTGTGTCATGTCACGTTTTGTTTATTGACAGAACACATTGTAAGTCGCAGACTTTGTTCTTTTGTGATGGAGCCAGTTTGGCAGATGTTTATTTTGTTTGAACTGCAGCACGTGAATGTGTGAATGCTGAAAGGCATGCTGGGTAAACTTGACGGACGAAGGGAACAGTTTGTGAGTCACCGGTACATCCTCTGCGACGTGCTCCGACTTGAGTCTTTCCAGACACTCATGTCAATTATAATCTGCCTCTTTCTAAAAAACATCCAACAATCCGATGATCTAATGAGAGATAATGCAAGACAATAAGATAAGATAAGACTTTATTAATCTCACACAGGAGAAATAACCTATTTTTCCAACTCTTAGAGTGAAATTTATGTTTGTATGGTTCACTTCTGCTAGGATTAATGGTTAACTTGCCATTCTCTTTTTACAAGAGAAGTTTTCTTTCCTCCCTCAGGCCCTCTCATTTTTCCCAATCCTGCAGTACATGTTATATTCAATTCTGCAATGCATAATCATTATTTTAAATGGCCACATTATAATTAGCAGAATACATGAACTCATAAAACCATGACACTTTCAATTCAGTGATGTGGATACAGCAACCAGCCATTTGTGATATTTTAAATGTTTATGCTTTTTCCATTCCCCTAGACATATTTATGGTGAAACTCAAAGCAGGGAAGACATTTTGAATTTTACGAATTATCAAACACTTGCTTTTTTTTTATACTGATACTTTTCAGTTTTGCTCAATCTAGTCAAATCTGACTGCAACATGTTGCATTTGTCTGACTCTAAAGTCTTTCACAAGCGTGTTCTTTTTTGGGCGGAGTGAGACCCCTACTGGTCAGTGAAATTATGACATACATATTGCAACAGAACTCGTTTCTACTTTTACTTTAGCAATTAAGCAACCACTCATGTATTTGTTTAATGACTGAATGTGTGACAAGCAACATAACTGAATAAATTGCAGATAAGTCAATTCACACATTACTTTGATTGCACATTATAACTAATGCACTAAGAATGACTGAAAGATAAAGGCTATGCTGTCACCGACAGAGCAGCCATCCTCCTGTGGACTCCTCACCTGCTGGAGGATCAGTGAGGGGCTGGTGCTATAATTGAGTGCTATTCTGCCACTCCCCGACCCAGAAATGGATTAAGAGGGAAGAAGAAGGAATATGTAGTGTTCATTGTACATTCTAACAAATAGAAGACAGGGTCTTTATGGATTTTGTCCAGTAGGTAAACTAACACTTCTCTTCGGATTTTTGCAGAGGCAGCAACAGATAGCCTGGACTGGGGAGACCTTAGGCCTGCATTATGCCCATCTGACACACAAACTGTAAGTATGAGAATTTAAGTACTTGGGGATTATATATGCCAGTTTTTAAAAAAAATTTTTTTTTTAATGACAATATATAAACAATATATAATGTGAAAATATCCATCCATCCATCCATTTTCTTCCGCTTTATCCGTTGCCGGGTCGCGGGGGCAGCAGTCTAAGCAGAGACGCCCAGACTTCCCTATCCACACACACTTCCTCCAGCTCGTCCGGGGGGACCCCAAGGCGTTCCCAGGCCAGCTGAGAGACATAGTCCCTCCAGCGTGTCCTAGGTCTTCCGCGGGGCCTCCTCCCGGTGGGACGTGCCCGGAACACCTCCCCAGGGAGGCGTCCAGGAGGCATCCGGAACAGATGCCCGAGCCACCTCAACTGGTTCCTCTCGACGTGGAGAAGCAGCGGCTCTACTCCGAGCTCCTCCCGTGTGACTGAGCTCCTCACCCTATCTCTAAGGGAGCGCCCAGCCACTCTGCGGAGGAAGCTCATTTCGACCGCTTGTATCCGCGATCTCGTTCTTTCGGTCATTACCCAAAGCTCATGACCATAGGTGAGGGAGGGAACGAAGATTGACCGGTAAATCGAGAGCTTTGCCTTTCGGCTCAGCTCCTTCTTTACCACAACGGTCCGATACAGCGACCGCATCACTGCGCACGCTGCACCGATCCGCCTGTCAATCTCACGCTCCATTCTTCCCTCACTCGTGAACAAGACCCCGAGATACTTGAACTCCTCCACTTGAGGAAGGACCTCTCCACCCACCTGAAGAGGGCAGGGCACCTTTTTCCGGTCGAGCACCATGGCCTCAGATTTGGAGGTGCTGATTCTCATCCCAGCCGCTTCACACTCGGCTGCAAACCGTCCCAGTGCATGCTGCAGGTCCTGGTTCGTTGGAGCCAACAGGACAACATCGTCCGCAAACAGCAGAGATGAAATCCTGTGGTCCCCGAACCGGACCCCCTCCGACCCCTGGCTGCGCCTAGATATTCTGTCCATAAATACAGTGAACAGAACCGGTGACAAAGGGCAGCCCTGTCGGAGGCCAACATTCACCGGGAACAGGTCTGACTTACTGCCGGCAATGCGAACACAGCTCTGGCTCCGGTCATACAGGGACCGGATGGCCCTCAGCAGAGGACCCCCGACCCCGTACTCCCGGAGAACCCCCCAAAGGACACCCCGGGGAACACAGTCGAACGCCTTCTCCAAATCCACAAAGCACATGTGGACAGGTTGGGCGAACTCCCATGAACCCTCGAGTATCCGATGGAGAGTATAGAGCTGGTCCAGTGTTCCGCGACCGGGACGAAAACCACACTGCTCCTCCTGGATCCGAGATTCGACCATCGGCCGTAGCCTCCTCTCCAGTACCTTGGAGTAGACCTTACCGGGGAGGCTGAGGAGTGTGATCCCACAATAATTGGAACACACCCTCCGGTCCCCCTTCTTGTAGAGAGGGACCACCACCCCGGTCTGCCACTCCATTGGCACCGCCCCCGATCGCCACGCGATGTTGCAGAGACGTGTCAGCCAAGACAGTCCTACAACATCCAGAGACTTTAGATAATCAGGGCGGATCTCATCCACACCCGGAGCCTTGCCACCATGGAGGCTACCAACCACCTTGGTGACCTCAGCCAGGGAGATGGATGTATCCGCCCCAACATCCTCAGCCTCTGCCTCTGAAACAGAGGACGTGACGGGGGGATTGAGGAGAACCTCAAAGTATTCCTTCCACCGCCCGACAATATCCCCAGTCGAGGTCAGCAGCTCTCCACCCGCACCGTACATGGTGTTGGCAAAGAACTGCTTCCCCCTCCTGAGGCGCCGGACGGTTTGCCAGAATTTCTTTGAGGCCGACCGATAGTCATGCTCCATGGACTCTCCGAACTCCTCCCAGTCCCGGGTTTTTGCCTCTGCAACAGCCCGGGCCGCGGCACGCTTGGCCTGCCGGTACTGGACAGCTGCCTCAGGAGTCCCCCGAACCATCATGGCTCGATAGGACTCCTTCTTCAGCCTGACAGCATCCCTTACTGCCGGTGTCCACCACCGGGTTCGGGGGTTGCCGCCGGGACCAGCACCAGAGACCTTGCGACCACAGCTATGAGCCGCCGCATCGGCGATTGAGGCAGAGAACATGGTCCACTCGGACTCCATGTCCCCCTCCTCCACCGGGACCTGGGAGAAACTCTCCCGGAGGTGTGAGTTGAAAGTCCGTCTGACAGGGGGCTCAGCGAGACGTTCCCAGCAGACCCTCACTATACGCTTGGGTCTGCCAGGTCTGACCGGCTTCTTCCCCTGCCAGCGGATCCAACTCACGACCAGGTGATGATCGGTTGACAGCTCCGCCCCTCTCTTTACCCGAGTGTCCGAGACACGCGGTCGAAGGTCAGATGATACGACAACAAAGTCGATCATCGACCTCCGGCCTAGGGTGTCCTGGTGTCACGTGCACTGGTGGACACCCTTGTGCTCGAACATGGTGTTCGTGATGGACAAACTGTGACTGGCACAGAAGTCCAACAACTGAACACCGCTCGGGTTCAGATCAGGGGGGCCGCTCTTCCCGATCACCCCTCTCCAAGTGTCACTGGCGTTTCCCACATGGGCGTTGAAGTCCCCCAGGAGAATAACGGAGTCCCCGGGCGGTGCACCGTCCAGTACCCCTCCCAAGGACTCCAAGAAGGCCGGGTACTCTGCACTGCTGTTAGGCCCGTAGGCCGTCACAACAGTGAGAGACTTATCCCCCACCCGGAGGCGGAGGGACGCGACCCTCTCATTCACCGGGGAGAACTCCAACACGTGGCGGCTGAGATGGGGGGCAATGAGAATGGCCACCCCAGCTCGCCGCCTCTCTGCCCGCGGGAAACACCAGAAAAGTGGAGCGTCCAACCCCTCTCAAGGAGTTGGGTTCCAGAGCCCAAGCTGTGTGTGGAGGTGAGGCCGACTATCTCTAGTCGGTATCGCTCAACCTCCCCCACGAGCTCGGGCTCCTTCCCCCCCAGTGAGGTGACGTTCCACGTCCCAAGAGCCAGCTGTTGTGTGTGCGGACTGGGTCGTCGAGGTCTCCGCCTTCGACTGCTGCCCAGTCCTCTCTGCACCGTTTCGCCACCACGGACCCCTCTGCGGGTGGTGGGCCCACAGGAGGGACTGCCTGTGGGCAATGTGAAAATATTGAGTTACATTTAGTACAGCTGAAAATTCCTTACTGAGGAATTCCTTATTTTCTCACTAGATACTGTTTTTGTGAGGTTTTAATCTTAAAAAAACATGGCGTGTGTATAAATGTCTGGATGACAGTATGAACTTGTGTTAGCATAGCATCTAATGTGGACGTTTTATCTTTTTATCAATAATTAATTAATGGATTAATGACAAAATTACTTGCATGGTTGCAAAATTATTTGCTTTGTGAGTGACTTCCAATGATAAAAAAAAAAGTCAAAAGCTGAACTTTTGGCCGACTACTGGTGTCTCACAATGTATTACAGTATCTTGTTATTAATCAATTGGTTTTGTCATCTTGTAAAAATGATGTTCTAATTTTTTAAGACTCCAAAACCAACTTTTGTTTTAAGGACTCTTGTTCAAAGCATGTATATTTTATTTTCTTGTTCCATAAATCACTGTTGCTGAATGATGTGAGAAAGTGTAGTGGGATGGAGTGTTGTTTGTTTGTGTAAAACATGGGTTGGAGGACACTAAATGATTCTAAAGCACTGGTCATTTGCGTTGGTGTATTGAGCCAGACACAGACAGATGGGCTCAGGTATGCCTTCAGCACTGTTGGGATTTATGGTACCTTTTTTTTTTGGGATCATTTTCAATGGGTAGTATTTATTTTTTTCTGTCTGCTATGTTGTGTTACTATAATGAAGAAAGGCTTTAGGCTGGATTAGAAACAATGGTTATATCTTTGGTGAAGTAATACATTTAGCAATTTGTCTGAAATGGTACTTCTGGGCTTGTATTTCTGTTGCAACAAAACAATTTGGAAACAGAAAATTGATTAATACTCAATGTTGAAATGATTTTAACATGGATGGTCCATGCACATCTAATCTTTCCCTTGCTCACATTAATTACAAGAACTGGATGGAGCGTGTAAGAGAAGCCTTAGCTTCCTCTTCGCCCTTTCACTGAAGCTCCACTGCTGAGCCTAAGCCGCGTCTGTCCTCTGGCAGACTGGAGAAGTATGCTCCATATGGCACAGGCTCTCAGGTGAAAACTTTGGTTAGAAAGCATGCTATTGTGTTATCCTTGCTGTTAATGTTTGTTTTCATCCAAATCTTAATACAGATTTTGTGGCTTTAAAACAATGTTCAGCATTCCAAACAGATCCCTTGCATCATAATTATTAATTTTGACTAGTTTACAAGTGCTTTTCTCAAAGTCAGAGCTCTGAGAAAAGCTCAGAGTTCAGATAAAAAACATGACTGGAGCATTTTATTTATAATTTTATAACAACAAAATAGAAATGAGGAGCATTTAAACACCTGTACTCTAATCTATTGATGTTTTCAGAGTGGTGGGTTTTGCTGCTGCTGAAGACAATGAGAGGTCGCCTACGCTGAGGGTCGATGTTGTGGGAAAGATGGACCTGCCCAATGGCCAATCAGGCATCACCACCATCGCTGCTTCTGTCTCAGAGGTCAGATGGGTCACTCAAACACTTGAGAAGCCAATTCACCCTTAGAGAAGTTGAACAAAGCAACAGACAATGTATCTCTCAGTCCGACCTAGTGCATCACTCAAATGCAAACATGTGTTATTTGCATAATAACATTATGCAATGCAATTATATTTGTTATTTTCCTGTCCTGTCCACAGATAAACAGCAGTGCAGAATATTTGGGTGACAAAGGCTCTGAGCTAAAGAAGAGTTTTGATGCTGTTGTGTTCGATGTGCTCAAGGTCACCCCTGAGGAATATGCGGTAAATATGTCACTTCCATAAAGGTGCCATATTGCACTGCTCTTCATGTTTCACAGTCCATTCTATGCACATGTGTGATGATAATTTTAGTGATACAACATACAGCACTCAAAACTTGTGAGATTATAGCCATCTCTACCATAGAGGTGATGTCACATCATCTCAAACGAGCTGATCCAGAGAGGAGGCTGCTCCTCTGCCTGTGAGCCCGCCATGTCCACGCAATGAAGTTGTTTATCTCCAAAGCAAACTCTTCAGATTCGTCGGTCCATAGTCATTTAATTCGTGGGAATAACGCTGGCTTCCAGATCAGCTTTTGAGTAAGTCCAGTTTCAAGGTAACTGTAGTTCTGGAACAGTCTTGAGTGAAGTGTCGCAGATGAACAGTTTTGTTGCGGATTTCAGAGGGAGATCCCATAAAAGAAATAAAAAAAAACTCAAGCCGCAATCATCTTCTTCGGGTCACATATTTACACCAAAAACACATTTTCTCCAAGTTGACGTGATCCTAACACTTTTAAGTCGCTGATAAAAGCAGGTAAACAGTATAGCTCCATGTGGTGGACGCGGAACCAAACCATAGACATACGCTGGACTGTTGAGAAGCTGTGCCGCTGTTTTGATTTGTCAATCACCTCCTGGATTTTAGTATTATTATTATTATTTTTGACAAAAATCAGCATATTTATTGTGTATTGTTTTCCCTGTTTTGACGACAGTATTTAAGAATCTTTTTAAATGCAAAAAGACGAGCGTCTGTGCGTCATCTTTGGTATTGATGTTGAAATCGTCACAGACGATTTCAACAGAGGGACAGATCGCTCTCTAACTAAAGAAAAAAAAAACTACTCTGGGCATGTGAATGAGGCAAAAAAGCACTGTGTTTAGGGCAGTGAAAAGTCAAAAAGTGTAATATGGCACCTTTTAATGTAAAAGAGTCCTCATTGACTTGAAGAATAGATTTGTTTGATTCTGAGTGAATGTTCTATATATTTTCAAATATGTACAAAACGTGTTTCATAATATTCAAGAACAAATCCATTCACAACATATATTTAGATATAAACTAAACTTTTTTTCAAAAAAAATAAAGATAAATCAGTAAAAGTCTATGGTAGTTTCACCACTGAGAGGAAATCACATTAGATTATATTTACTGGGCAACAAAAATAAAGCACGTTAATGTTCTTTTAGTATCCACCAGGGGGCACAGTCTGTCTTCTCAGAGAAGCAGTAGTGATGAAGGGGATTGGAGGATGCACTGTATGTAACAGTAATCAACTGTTGTTGTTGTTTTTTTACCCTAGGGCCAGATCACACTCATGGACACACCGGTGTTCAAAGCCATCCAGCCAGACGTGAGTAGCTTTTATGTCAGTTGAAATTGTTACCATGAAAAGCTGGAAATGTGTGGTGTTTTATTAATGTGTGCTGTTAAAAGTGATCATCTGTCTTTATGGTTACTGCAGAGAATGCAAAAGGTTTGATTTCTAGGAATTTCAGTTCGTTTAGACGGCACTCGTGTAAGTTGTATTTAAGGTTTGCCACTGAGGCCTCACAAAAACAGTTTAAATCACAGTTCAGTGCTATGCGGTAGACCTCTGACCCCTGCATGAAAACTACTCCAGAAGCAGCTGTACCACTCTTTGACTTTTTTTTTCATGTTTTTATGTTAACTATCGTCCTAACAACGATACCAAAAACGTGGGGTGGAGTCTCTCTTGGTAGTTAAACAAATGGCCAATCAATTTGACTCACTAAATTTGAAAGTCTTTTTTCATCATCAGTTGATCATATTACAGAGTAGGTTGTATAGAGGAACTTGTTAGTTTTACCCATTGACTGGGGCACATACAAAATGATTTAAGATAAAAGTACTTGTCATATGTAAAAGAAGGTGACGCAGAACATCTTAGTGTTGTCCCAATATTCTATGTTTTTACTGAGGAGTAGTCAGTCACATTCTGGCCCTCTGCCCCACTGCCCTGACTGCAGGTTCACTCAGAGGCTACTGGAGGATTTAAAAAGGGCCAACGCTCCTGTTTGGCTTGAGTGGCTATGGTATGACTGACTGGCCAGCTAAGTGGGCCTTATGCCTAATGACTCGTGTCCATGTATGTATAGGCCATAGGTACAATTTGAAAAATGACGGTTCATGTAAAGGTTGAGATAGTCAAATGAGCTCGAATTGTACTTAATGTATTAATAAAGCCTATATTTTGGTGACCCACATGTTATATTAATGTTCATACATCTTTACTCACACACTTGGGGTATGGGGGTACTTTGCGTATGATATTCGTGGGTACATGCCCAGATGTCATCCCCTCGTATAAAAAGGCTGGCACTTCTGCGCACACACTTTCGATGGACACAACACATACACACTGACGGTGACGTCAGTCCATTTATGCTAGTGGTGTGAAATGGACTACCTCAAAGGCCATCTTAGGTCTCATATTTTGTCATTGCTACAATAACATATACAGTATAATTGAAGAGGATGCACTTCATCTTTTTCCCTTGCAGTTGGTAAAAATTAAATTGATCAGATTGTCGAGTTCTTATTCTTGAAGAAAGTAAATTCATAATGCCTTTCACAACTTTGAAAGACAATGGTCCTTATTTATAAAACCTTTTAAATGTGACTTTCACACAGTCCACTTCTTGTATATATATTCAACTACAATTTTATAAATGGCCCAGGCGAGTCAGAGACACAAAGTGAACAAGCACATCACGGTGAATAATTAAGATCAGACAAAGTTGAGGGAAAAGCTTTGACAGCTGTGCATTTTTTCAAACAAAAGAACCGTGTTTTTGATAATTGAATAGTGTGGTAATAAAGTCTTGATTGACTGACTTTTGTCATCCAGCACAGCAAAAAATATGCATACATAATCCTCTTCGATAAATTAAAAAAAATTCCAAAGCAAGAACACAACAAAAATGAAAAACTGTGTAACCATTGTATAAACTGTGTAACCATTGTGTGACATAAATTATAGATTTGAATTGTATGTGTTTTTGGCTCAATAGTTAACCCCTAATGTCTTCTGGAAAAACCCAGAATTACCCTGAAAGCACCACATACTGACCGCAGGATTCTGGCAGGGCCCTCTGGATGTAAAGACACTGGGCCATTTCCTAATAGCTGTCGCCAATAATAGTCTGTAGTTTCCATTGCTGCCACTCAATGTTCTCTCCATACAGATGCATGATGGAAAAAGCAGGTGTCTGTCTGTCTGTGTGCATGGGTCCTTGTTCATTGCCTCAACTGGAAAATATTAAATAATGTGGTCTGATCATTGAGTTGTGTAACAATGTTGTTACTGACATGGAGCCCGTTCTGCAACCTGAGCACATGAGACGTGCCGTTTTAAGGATGAGGTTAGTGATGAGGTAGTGAGAACATTGCGGACCGGTGCGGAATAGGAAATGGACTAAAAGTGAGGGAGAAAACAACATTGTTATGTAATGGTAGTATTTCCCCCCAACCCTTCCTAAATTTCTGGTGGTCATTTAGAGCAAATGTCATATGTTTATAAATCTTAATCACAGTGCACAATAGCATCTCACTGTTGTTGTGTGTTAGTATATATTTAGCCTGAGTTGGTACAACAAAATTAAAACCCATAAGATTTTGTAGGCGCAAAAGAAGTGAGGGATTGACAAAACACAAATGGAAATATTCACTCAAAATAATAATGCTCCATCAATATAGTTATGATACAGAGAAAGGAACATTCAGTAAGTTCTGCAGCATGCATTAGTATTTTTTTTTCTCGTCCAAGAACTGAATCAAATGTTCCTTCTCTGCCCTAGCTTTCTGCGCTTCCTGTTCCTCGGCTTCTAAATTTAAATAATGTATTTCTAAAATACTATAGCTGTCTTTTACAATACAATACAATTTATTCTTGTATAGCCCTAGGTCACAACAGAAGTCATCTCAGAGGACTTAACAAAACCATTGAAATCACCAGAGATGATCAGAGAATCAACAGTTAAAACACATGAAAAATATAAAGCACACATAGAAGAAAATGTCCATACATGTTGTAGAATGCTAAAGTGTCCTGATCATCACTTTTGCATCTTTTCTTTTGCAAGGTGCATGGGTGCTTATGCAAGAACACATTCCATTAAAAATATACTTATAAGCCTGCAGCTTTTATAATTATTGCAGTGGATGTTACTCACTCGGTCTCCGTTTCATTTTCATTTCCCAATACACCCATGCCGTGGTCTGTGGTTTTAATACTCTTTCTTAGAACTACATTGAGCGGATGTGCCACTTTCTGTCGTTATTGCACTTTCGGCTTAGTGTAATATCTCTTGAAACTATATATTGTTGGTGTGTCCCAGCAAAATCTATTACGCATAATATACACAACATAACTTTTTTTAGACACAAATTTTGAGAAGCAAAATGCAAGAGTCAACATCTAAACAGCTTTATAAGTTCAGTTTCTGGGTTGTAATTTTCTTTTTTACATGTTCAATGGTTTCTGAGTTTTATACAATTTGTCATACTCGACTTATTAAATCCCCGAAGTCTGTGTACTGCTCCATACTAGACATAAACACATCTGTGTTTGATAAGAAAGAAGTGACAAGTTATGAGCAGCATATGAACTCCTTTCACTGCATCATTCATGTCTCATTACTTTAAAGAGACAAATGACTTCTTTCTTCAAACATCTGTGTAATGATTCCAAAGTAATATATTTTGTAGATTATCAATGACGTCACCGGCAATGATTTTTTGCTTTTTTGATATTCCTTAATCATAGGACAAGAAAGATGAGGGGAATGTACGGGAAACAACTAACTTTTGGAAACAACAATACAAATGTGTACAGTATAGAAATGTAATATTTTTTTGTAATATAGTATTCAATCTTTTTATTATTAGCTATGATTAACAACTAATCTATTGTCATTTTCACTTTTGAAAAAACAGTCTTCAATGCAGTTTACATATAAAGTATATTACAGGTACTATTTAACAAATAGTCTCTGCAAGAAGTTTTGCTTTAATTTGAAACTTGTCATGCCTTTCTGTGTGAGACGAGTGCTATAGCTCACAATTCATTATCTAAATTGATTGTGTGTAATTGTTTCAGCTCTATCTGTAATACAACAGACTTTTTTTTGCCATTGAAACGTCTCACAAAGGAGAATACTTTTTAGAATATTACTAAAGACATGAATATTACTAAAGACATGAATTGAAATGAAGAAAGAAACCAAAATACATGTTTTTTTCCATGTCCAAAGAGGCCCATTATGAAATGGTCCTTTTCTTCAGAATAATAAGTACATCAAACAAAACCAAAAGTCAGTATTTTAGCATTGTGTGAGCGTCCATTGTCGCAACAAGAATGATTATAGCTGCTTATTGTCATTCGGTGCCAGCTTCATGGTAAACACAGAATCTGTTGCTCTGTTTGCAAATGGCTTACAAAGAAAATGTAGAAGGAACAGGGTAAGGTGTATTTTTGGGCCAGCAAACAAGTCAATTCAATTTATTTTTGTATTTCTCTAAATCACTAGAGCTGTCATAGGGCTTTGCAAAACTTACAACTGCAGATTAAAAACCTGAAATGCAATGATAAAAATAAAATTCTTAGGAGTCATTGGTCCATATGGGTAGCAGGATTGCCAATCCAAAATGTTCATTGTCAACCTGCCATTTAAGGTACTTTTGAGATCTGGAAACGAGGGTTCCAAACCTGGACTGAAGTAATATTACATGTACTTAAATATGTAATGTATTTTTCTATTTTAGTTGTTCAAAACAAAATTACGTCTTGAAATATTCGCTTTAGCCACTTCTTGTATCCCACAATATCTACATCATCAGAGCATACAGAAACATAAAAAACCTATAGTTTTATAACTTTCTGGTATTGTAACTCAAAGTGCTTTTTTTTTTTTTTTAGCAATACTGGCTTTGTTCTTGATGAGCTAACAAATGGCAACAACAAACATTTTCCTGTTCAGTCTGACTAGACAGAGACTTATTTTTATTCAATGATTCTCACATGAATGACGCCTGGATGAAGGAGAACAAAGTGTTTCCGGCATTTGCAGTAATACAGTGTAGTCTTTGAATTTGAATGAAAAAGTGCTAGACAGACATATGGAGATGGCGGCCTGCCTGTGGTTTGTCCTTGTAGTACTTATTACTGCCTCCTTTTTTCTGCAGTTTTAGAGAGTTAGCTTTTCTCAAGTGTCAATAAAACTTTCATATTTTCCGAAATGACACATATACAAGAAGGCAAGGCAAGTTTATTTGTATAGCACAGTTCATATACAAAGCAACGCAAAGTTCTTATTAAAACAAGATGGAAATTGTCACATAAGGAATAAAATCGTAAATAATCACAGTACACAAAAAATTGTGAAGATTAAATCTTTAACAGCTAAACTAACCTGGATCTGACCATTGTCAGAGAAGAAGCCTGTCTCACGTTTTCAGGAAGACTGTTCAAGATTTTGAATGGATACATCTGAGATGACTACTCAGCATGGTCACTTCTATCTCTGGGCAGGAGCAGGAGGCCAGTCCCTGTGATCTCCAGATAGGTTCATATGTCACTAACATCTCACAGATGTACTTTGGTGCGAGCCCTTGCAGAGACTTGAATACAAGCAAAGCTACGTTGACGTCCTATTCTCTGTGCTACTTTCCAGTGCAGAGGCCTGAGAATTAAGTTAAGAGATAATTAATCTTTGTGATTACCCCTTAATCTTAATCCAATTTACTTATAATTCTGACTTTTAAACTATTAAAAATCATTTTTTTCTTTAAAAAATGAATAAGTAGATGTTTACTTAAGTTTAAAGTCGATGTTTACTAAATTGTTTATTTGGTTGGGACAGTACATATTGATGATCACATCACTCCGGATTGTAGCCTTGGGCTAACTTCCATCCGTCGTCTCACAGTCGCACTCACAGTCGCACTCAGTCACACTCACAACCACACACTCATCCACCCTGAACTATTTTTAGTGCTTACTCCAGCTACCTTCACAAAAGGACCATAACCTATACATTTCATTGGTGCTGTACTTTGCCCATTTCACTTTATGTTCCCTTGAGCACAAAGTCAAAGCCATGTGCCAGGTATAAATTAGCTTTTCAAAGTAAATCCGTCTCTTTTCCTTGGTTCCCATCTGTGTTTGATATTCTGAAGTCTGGTGAATTGTTTTGTCCTGAATGAGCAGACACGTCCTGACATGTGTTTGGTTGGACCACTCCTGAATGTGGCTTGGGTCACAAAGGAGGTTGTCATACCAAGTCGTCTGGGTGAGCGGGGATAAGAAACTGAAACTTTTGCTACATTTTCCCAGTTATTCTTTGTGTGTCCCTGGCCTCTGAACTGTCATTTGAGGCCAGAGGAGGCTCTGGGTTCTCCTTTGCAAAATCTGTTGGGTCTGCGCCAGAGTTCCTTTGTAAAGAGTGCACCTAAGGTCAGAGTCCAGCCTGGATCTTACAAGGGCTGCTGTGATAGTTCACATTTCAGTAATGCAAGTATTATTAAATCTTAAACACTTTTTGTAATATACAGTGCCTTGCGAAAGTATTCGGCCCCCTTGAACCTTTCAACATTTCGCCACATTTCAGGCTTCAAACATAAAGATATAAAATTTTATTTTTTGTCATGAATCAACAAGTGGGACACAATCGTGAAGTGGAACGAAATTTATTGGATAATTTAAACTTTTTTAACAAATGCTCTGGTCAGATGAAACCAAAATCGAACTTTTTGGCCACAATGCAAAACGATATGTTTAGCGTAAAAGCAAAACAGCTCATCACCCTGAACACACCATCCCCACTGTCAAACATGGTGGTGGCAGCATCATGGTTTGAAGCCTGAAATGTGGTAAAATGTTGAAAGGTTCAAGGGGGCCGAATACTTTCGCTAGGCACTGTAACTGATATCTTGTAGCTCTTTTTTGGGCAAAATATTTAATGCTTGGGACCGTTTAAAGAGACAATAATGTTCTTTTTTAGGAGCTGTCGAGTTGTGGCTGGAACAAGAAGGAAAAGCACAGCTCTGCCCCAAACGTTGTGGCCTTCACTCGTCGGTTTAACCAGGTGAGACACTTTCACACATTTTAATCACCTCTTGCCGCTATTTCCTGAAAGATCACGCAGAGACAGCCTCAGGTCCCTGTGCACGGTATAAGATTCATGAGATGTGGAGAGAGCGCAGCTCATCTTTCCACAGTGTTTATGGTCTCAAAGTTTCACATTATAGCTCTAAAAGAAAAACAATTCATTTTTTTATTTTATCAATGGATTGTTGTTCATTATTTTACTCTGTATATAGCCCATTTATATAATAACAGATGTAGCTTCTCATTTTGATTCTTTCACAGTTGTATTTGATACAACATTGTTTAAAATCCAGAGTAAACATGTCTTTGTTTACTTTGTCCCGAATGAGTAAATTAGTGGACATTAAATAGACCTGACGGTTTCAGACAGCTGCCGGGTGGTATTGGTGATGTTGTTCTGTTATTCATTGTATATGTGAACATTTACTAATGAATAAGTTAAAGCTGCACTCACTGACTTTGGGATTTTGAAGCAGCACACTCGCTGGCCTCGCTCTTTCTGCTCCCCTCCCCACGAAGCTATCTCCCCCCGCTACCGCACACCCACTGTTCTTTACGGAGCTAGCGTCTCCCAATATGGATAGAATCATGGATATGGATTTGAACGTGGATGGCGTGACCATAGAATGATAGAACCGGGAAGCGCAGAGGAACAGGATTTTCTTTTAGTTAGGTTAGCTCTGCTGCTTGTTGTGCTAACTCAGCTGTCTATGCTAACAGACCTGTAGATTTCTCAAGAATGTGGGGGCTAGTGGTGCGCTGTGATTGGTCACAATCTGGTCCCGAAACACATTCTCTTCCTTGTTTCATCAAAACTCGATCTAAAATATAATGTCTTGCCAGCACAAACCTGCGCTACTTTTTCTTCAAAAGGACGTATATCCCAATGCACTGCATGGACATGGATAGCATTTTCGTAATGAATACAAAAATAAAGTCAGTTTGTGCAGCTTTAACACTTTTATCGTATTACAGCTCTTGGTTGTTCACATTATTTTTGCTCTCGGTCTGTTCAGAAATTCCACAACAACACGTCAGCAATACGTAGATTCAAATTCAGAAGGCAGGTTTGGTTTAGGATCTAAACATGTGGTGATCAAATGGGGGAAACCCCTGGAAACATGCAGTGTCCATACAACACTAGATTTAATATTCAAGCTGCACATACTCAGATGCTCTATCCAAGTCATTATTTAAAACTTTCCAAGGTGCCAACAGCTACGGTCCCAGAGGGTTAAAGTGGTATGTTATTCTCCTGGCCCTGGAAGACTGAGACTGTGATTTGTTGCTTGAAGTTCTGAAAATTAAGTGACCCTTTCTGTAAATCATAATCACAACATGAGGATTAAAAAAATAAACGGGACACCAGTGATAATGATTAGTCACAGCTGAAATAGCAGAGCTTTACCCGTTGGTTCCAAGTATTAAGCAGCATCTTTGATAACTTTACATGCTTCAAAATTGGAATTGGATTTTTAAGTGACGTGACTTTTAAATATTTAAGATGAACACATCTTTTATTCTTCCCACTTTTGGGAAATTTCAGTATTGCATCACCGGTTAAATGAACAATAACTATACTCAAATAACATGAAATAAAATCTCTAACTTCAGCATAATAAAGAAGCAAGTATAAGATTTCAACCACCTTATTGCTTTTTTGGGACCAATGTTTGATGTTGAGCAAATTATACTCTACTAACATTACATTTGCACCAGGATTAGATTAGATTTTTCATTACTGGATTTAATTAAATTCAATTCAATTTATTCTTGTATATACACTAAGTGAGGTTCAAGTTTGTAACAAAGGTAGAAAGATGTAGTGGTTCGCCGGACTGGGTCCAGTACAAGCAGACTCTAAGACCAGACAAACAACCTAACCATATGCTAAATTGAAGAAGCCTGGCCTTGAATGTACAGGCCGTATCTGCCTCTTTAACGTGGATGGGAAGCTGATTCCACTGTGAAGGAGCTTGGTAACTGAATGCTCTGCCGCCGACGGTGCTGAACAATTTTATTTTTAAGTTCCTAGCTGTAGGTTTCGTTACCGCCAACAATACTGTGAAAAGCGGTAGTTTCAGGTCATAATGTTGACGTTCAGAGCACTCGGTCCTGAAGCGGCACAGACACTGAATGTTCAGAAGTGGAGTGCTGCCATCACAGTGATCTCATCGTTCTGCTGCTGTGGACGCCAGAGCAGATGGAGGGACACATGGAGCCAGGGGCCCTCTGGTATTGTGAATGTTAGAGGTGGGTTAGTGTCCAAAAAGGAAGTTTGTTGACTTTTAGTGTCTGGCCATGACACTGGCTATATCCTAAGGTAGTACATGACAATCCTCACTTAAAAGGCCTTCCAGTTGAGATGTTAATTCTTCCAGACATGAAAGCATAGCCATTTAATAATTATTATACATGTGTGAGATTCAGCCAAAGAACAGCCTAAACATATTGAACTATTTTTAGTTGAAAGGAAATATACTTGAACTGTTTCTCATACCTCTTCAGGCTCTTTGTAATTGTGTGCTCCTCTATTCATAAATTGCTAAACCTTGTTAAAAACTATATTGTTTGAAAACCAGCAGATGATTGTAGATAGATGTCAAAGGGCACTGTCGTCATAACTTGGTATTCTGTCCAATTTCACCACTCGTTAATATTCTTCACAGACTACTCTTTGTATATTGTAGGAATTGGACACATGTGGCTCTGATTTGCTTAGATACTTGTATTAATGTGTGTTTGAAAAGATGACATGTAAGGGTCTCGGTCAATGAATAAGAAGAATTTCTCTCCCTTTAGCTGCCTTCCAAACACTTCTGGAACAAAAACAAACCTTAAGACTTAAGTTTCCATTAAGGAGGCTGACGCTCGTACCCGCAGCTAATTTATGCACATGGCCTTTCCATCCACATATTTACAAAGAACTCTGGAAAGACCCAGTGACCAAAAAAGATAAATGATAAATATTAATTTAGGTTGTAAATAAAAAAGGCTATAGATTCCCCAAGCCACCACCACGTAGGTCATTTATTATCCATGATGAGCTGGTTAAGGCGATCAAAGAATTTGTCCATTTTAAATCCGAGATTGGTTCTTTTGGGATGATCTGATATCACAAAGTAATTAACAGTTCAGGATCAATGTCAAAGTTGTTTGCCCAGGATCATGTGTTCATTATGTGATGGGTTAGAGGTAGGGGTTAGGGCCAGAGTTTGTTAAGGTTAGGTCAACGTAGTGATGTGAAACTGCTTTACTTTTATTAAGCACGAGTTCTGTCCACCCAGGTCCTTATTCTTAATGAGGCTTCTTTTATTGTTGTCCAGTGTATTAAACTTCATTTAATGTAATTATTTATAACGTAAAAACTATGTTTTCAAGCAATAAAAATTGTACAAACGCACTGCCTACATCTGTCGGTTGGGTTTTGTAAGCGCCCCTGAAGCTCAAATCCCCTCCCATTACATCTTCTCTTTTCTGTTTCCATCTCGTCCTCCCTGGAGCTCAACCTGATTGATTGATTCGCTGATGTTTTCCTGCGTGTCTCTGTGTAATCAGACCTTTCGTTTTCCAACATTTTTCCCCAAGGACTCAGATTTCCAACATCACTCCCTGTCTGGACGGCTCTTCAGACATACCTCCACACACTCCTGTCCCAGCTGACGTATGCAGGGCTGTTAGAGCTTATCTTCTGGTTAATCAGTTCAGCCTTCTTCTTGAACCTTTTTCTCAGGAGCGATTTTAATGTCCCTGTTGTACATTTAATATATTTAAGTAAAAGTTCAGTAGCATTGCTCTTTACAGGCGAACATTTGATCCTAATACTCTACTACAAAAGCAAGTACGGTCTGTCAAAAATATGACATTGTTTGCATGAAAGCCGTTTCATTCAAGTGGTTGAATTTACCTGTCACTCACTTAGAGATTTAACAGAGTTGTGGAGGAGTGGTAAAAGTGTCTGTTTTACGAAGCTGAACTAATCTGAATCATGATAAAAATGTCACTTAAAAGTAGTACATTACAATCTGTTGAAGCATATTTGTAATTGAGTTTATAACCGTTGTTTTGAGTGATTATTATTATCATTATTATTATTCAATCTGTTCAATCAGCTTGATTTTCATTGCTATTTGAGTGTGTTCACAGTAAAGTGACAATTGAAGTATCTGGACTTTAAAAGGTTATAACTTAAAAACTAAAATTACTTTCATTGATTGGAAAAAAGATTTCAAACACAGACACATTGAAGAGATAGTGTGAAAAAAATCAAAAGGAAAGATTGACATAAAAATGTTTAGCAACATTTTAAACAACCAAATTAGCCTCTGATTGGACCATTCTACTGTGACGCCAGTTACATAGAAAATAAAATGTCCTCAGTCTGAAAAAGTAGAAGACGAAATCCCACAATATTTACATGGTTAACACAACAGAAGGGAATTACTTGATATAAAAAGGAATCGTAAAAAAATTAAAATAAATTAATTAATTAAATGACCCCTGAAAAATGTATAACGGACGTGATGAGGACGGTCCTCTTTTCTCTAAAAATTAAACTTGAGAAAAAAAAAAATCTTGTCTGTTTTCACATTTAATTGGTTGACAATATGAAAGTATCACTTTGCATCTACTTTTTGTAAAAAAATAGAATCTCTGAATCAAATGTGGACATCTGAAAATACCTATCAAACTTCCACAAAGCTCATTCCGTCAAATCATCACGTCCGTTAGATAAAATAAACAGGGCCGCTATAGGAAACTTGTCTAATGTATAAAACAGTTATGTTCTAGCAAATTCTAATGGACAGAGGAGGGGTTTGGAAACATGAAAAACATAAAATATCTTCTGATTATTCAAATCTAATTTTTGGCCTTTTGTTACACTTTTGTGCCCTTTAGTGTGACAAGCCCATTTATTTGTACTAATTATTTCCTCTGCACCAGTATACAACAACATACACATCATTTTTATTATCTGGGGAAAAAAACATCTAAAATCTCTCTTCCCATTAGCACTTTTTCAGCATTGTTTCAGGCAGATTGACTTGGCTCTAAGCTCAAAGTCTGGAGGTTTAACACAACTCATCTCGCAACAGCTCAACATTGCTAAATCCACTTTGTGCTTTGAAGAAAGCTAAACAGACTCCAGATCAGGCTTTTGGTCTCATAGATTTGCACACAAACAATGGCTGCCCTGTTGTACACACCGGCCGGTCGGTTTTGTGAGTTTCGGAATGTGTCGGGTGAAATTATGTCTGTCTGTGTTTCTAGACCAGTTTCTGGGTGGTTCGGGAGATCCTCCACGCACAGACGCTCAAGATAAGGGCTGAGGTGTTGAGTCTTTATATTCGTACTGCAAAGGTATAAGCCATTTGGAAGTGTACAATATTATGCATGATTTAGAATTAAGCAGTTAAATAATCGGTTGTAATAATTATTTTCTTCAGAAATTGTGCGACATGAACAACCTGCATGCAGTAATGGCTGTTGTTTCATCATTACAAAGTGCACCCATCTTTAGACTCACAAAAACCTGGGCCGTAAGTATTTAAAAGGTTATAATTAGAATAGTTGTAAATGTTAGTTTGATTGTTACATTATTAAACATGTATTCGACTGGTAATGCCTGAGTTAAAAGTGAGGAAGCAGCTCTGTATTAATGTTTAGAGATGAGGAATAGGTAAGAGAAGCAGACCTTTTTTAAATCAAATAATAATGTGCTGAGGTAATGGAGAGAAATTCTTAGGTTCACAAAACACAGAATCTGGAAAGGAATTAAGTCTGTCTGACTCCCTCATGCCACAATGCAGTACACCTGCCTGAAAGATGCACCAACACATAAATATTAACATATTTATGATTTTATTTTGTTCTGATTTAGCTAAATTCTTTCTTCTTTACCTAATAGTTTCTCAGTCGGAAGGACAAGGCAACGTTTGACCGGCTTGACTACCTAATGTCTAAAGAAGACAACTATAAGAGGCTCAGAGACTACATCAGCAGCCAGAGCATGGTCGCCTGTATACCGTACTTGGGTAAGAACATTGTTTTTATTTGTTCACACAAACAATACATAAAAATAAATCAAAATGTCTGCTTGAAGCAAAGGATTTGTATGTAACTATTGTGTGCATCATGATTTAACTTCTCAAGAATCTGAATATTAGCCCTGAAAAACTACTGTTTGAGAGTGTTAAGCACGGAATGTTTCTCCTTTTGTTTCTCGTGCTTGAGATGAGGCTTGTTATTAAACTATTGTAACTCAGTGCTTGTGAGCTCAACCAATTTGCGCTGTTGTGCTGCTTGAAAGAAATCCTGTTAGATGAAGTGAGCCAAGTTGGCACAGGAGGCCAATCACCACATTCTGTCTGACACTGCCCTTGAACATTAATCCCTCTGACTCCAACAGAATGAGCTGAGCACTGCTCCAATATGTGCACAAATAAAAGTATAGTTTTAGATATTTTGCTTTATTTATTGGATGCTGATGATTAAGTAACTTTGAAAAATTGTTTGGAACCATTCATAAGTGTTTTTGTCACTACACTATTTTTGAATAGTGTTCGATTGCCCTGTTCACATTTCACTTCAACAATAGGGACTGCTCAGGTTTCAGACAGACCCAAACAAGCTTGAGACTGAACGCTATTAGACAATGGAACATAAATAATTCTGTTTAAACGTATCTGATTTACCATCATGTACGTAAAGTCTCTACATTTAGTCGCTCAGTGCACTGATTATCTATTCTTTGATGTGAAGTGAAGAAACCTGTGTTTGCACAGTTGGTGCGCTCTGGTTTTTCACAGTGATGCATTTGTTCAAAGCAGTGTGTATGGAAGACATTGTGTTGAATGTCTTCCACCACTAGGCATTACCTAGCACACACAGCTCCCCTGTCTGCTCCCCTCACACTACCAGCCTGTTTTATGCTCAGATGAACTTGTGTCTGTTTTTAGGCCATATCAAGACGACAAAGAGCCCACTGAGGGTTATTGCCCAAATTATATATATGTATATGTGTGTTTTAAATATATTTCTTATGTCCTCCATTAATTAATACATATTATCAATTAATGGGCATTAAAAGGTGCAATAGCACCAACACTTATCTACTTTGTATTTTTTATTAAACGTCAATGTTTAAAGAATGATTAAGCAGATGTACTTCTATGGTTTGTTGCTGGGCTTTCCAGAAAATTCCATGAAATCAATTTGAAAACGCATACTAGCATTTACGATGATGATAATACATTGTAGAGATGCAACTCTTAAGATTCAAATATTAAAAAAGTAGATGAGTGTTGACCCTCACATCTTATTTTCATCCCAAATTTGGCCCATTATTGATGCCAGAGCATGTTAATAATTTTTGTCTGTATTGTTTTTCACGTGGCTCCTTTTTCTTCAAAAAATGTCTCCTATTGTAGGTTTGTGGTCACATTGGGACAGCAATTGTGTAATGGAAAGCACTGACATTTAGCATCCTCTAGCCATTTTTCAGTCTTGTGTTTTATGGTTGATTCTGATGACATAAAGAGAATTTAAAACTGATTTTCCTAAAACTGGGGAAAATAGACTCTTCTCAATGTTCCTTATGAGCTACAGTGCCTTGCGAAAGTATTCGATCCCCTTGAACCTTTCAACATTTCGCCACATTTCAGGCTTCAAACATAAAGATATAAAATTTTTATTTTTTGTCATGAATCAACAACAAGTGGGACACAATCGTGAAGTGGAACAAAATTTATTGGATAATTTAATCTTTTTCAACAAATAAAAAACTGAAAAGTGGGGCGTGCAATATTATTCGGCCCCTTTACTTTCAGTGCAGCAAACTCACTCTAGAAGTTCAGTGAGGATCTTTGAATGATCCAATGTTGTCATAAATGACTGATGATGATAAATAGAATGCACCTGTGTGTAATCAAGTCTCCGTATAAATGCACCTGCTCTTTGATAGTCTCAGGGTTCTGTTTAAAGCGCAGAGAGAACCATGAAGACAAAGGAACACACCAGGCAGGTCCGAGATACTGTTGTGGAGAAGTTTAAAGCCGGATTTGGATACAAGAAGATTTCCCAAGCTTTAAACATCTCAAGGAGCACTGTGCAAGCAATTATATTGAAATGGAAGGAGTATCAGACCACTGCAAATGTACCAAGACCCGGCCGTCCCTCCAAACTTTCATCTCAAACAAGGAGAAGACTGATCAGCGATGCAGCCAAGAGGCCCATGATCACTCTGGATGAACTGCAGATAACTACAGCTGAGGTGGGAGAGTCTGTCCATAGGACAACAATCAGTTGTGCACTGCACAAATCTGGCCTTTATGGAAGAGTGGCAAGAAGAAAGCCATTTCTCAAAGATGTCCATAAAAAGTCTTGTTTAAAGTTTGCCACAAGCCACCTGGGAGACACACCAAACATGTGGAAGAAGGTGCTCTGGTCAGATGAAACCAAAATCGAACTTTTTGGCCACAATGCAAAACGATATGTTTGGCGTAAAAGCAACACAGCTCATCACCCTGAACACACCATCCCCACTGTCAAACATGGTGGTGGCAGCATCATGGTTTGGGCCTGCTTTTCTTCAGCAGGGACAGGGAAGATGGCTAAAATTGATGGGAAGATGGATGGAGCCATATACAGGACCATTCTGGAAGAAAACCTGTTGGAGTCTGCAAAAGACCTGAGACTGGGACGGAGATTTATCTTCCAACAGGACAATGATCCAAAACATAAAGCCAAATCTACAATGGAATGGTTCACAAATAGACGTATCCAGGTGTTAGAATGGCCAAGTCAAAGTCCAGACCTGAATCCAATCGAGAATCTGTGGAAAGAGCTGAAGACTGCTGTTCACAAACGCTCTCCATCCAACCTCACTGAGCTCGAGCTGTTTTGCAAGGAAGAATGGGCAAGAATTCCAGTCTCTCAATGTGCAAAACTGATAGACATACCCCAAGCGACTTGCAGCTGTAATTGCAGCAAAAGGTGGCGCTACAAAGTATTAGCGCAAGGGGGCCGAATAATATTGCACGCCGGTTTTTTATTTGTTAAAAAAGTTTAAATTATCCAATAAATTTCGTTCCACTTCACAATTGTGTCCCACTTGTTGCTGATTCTTGACAAAAAAAAAAAAAATGTATATGTATATCTTTGTTTGAAGCCTGAAATGTTGAAAGCTTCAAGGGGGGCGTATACTTTCGCAAGGTACTGTATATTTGGCTCTTTTAACTTTTGTTATAAAATGTATTTATTTTAACTTTTTTGGTGCATGTTATTTCTTTACACACAAACGGTATTTGTTAAGCTCCTGAACTTTTCAATTTAACTTTACATTCATGCTTGATCCATTTCATCAAAAGGCCCAAAAACTGATTTTTGCTCAATGATCGCCATATGATCGCCAAAAGACAAAAGTCATCAACTGAATACATTTAATAGAAATGTTCTTTTATCAAGACTGTCGGTTCATATCCCATCTTCATTAGTTTCAAATTTATGTCAAAAATGTTTTACTGCATTAAAGGATTAAAATGACTACGTAACATATAACTGAGATGATATCAAGATGGCCCAGAAACACATTACCCATAAATACATAGATAAATAACAGAAAATGGCAGAGCAACAAAACATTGTGAACTTTTGGTCTAAGGCTAGCAAATAAACATCACTTAAATTAACTATTTGTGCAGCCACATTTACACATTAAAGCCCCTTCTGCCATAAACATTTTGTTGGAATAAGATATACTTGAGTGAATAATCTAAATATATTGGCAGCACAAGTGTAATTCAACCATGATCAGCGTGACCACAATATCAGTATACAATGCAAGAAAGAGATTAGTGGACAAACAACTTTACATACTCAACTTGTGTTTCTTTTTGTGTCTTTTACTGTGACATTTACTTACCGTTAGCATTGTCCGTCACAATTAGCTGCTCAGAAGAATGTCTTTTTAAAAACTGTTTTCCCTTTTATTGCAAACTCCGATAGTACAAAAAACAATATTGTCCAAATCTCAACGATTCTTATTGTTCTGAATCCACAAAGCAGCTACATTGAACACAGCCACCAGTCTCTTTTTTTGGTCAGAGTCAAATTACAGCTATTGTATTCATAGGCCTGCTCATGTCTCAGAATAGTTTTCACAATTGACAATTGGCAAGTCTCTGGTAAGAGTTTCCAGAGGATCGGTCAGTTTAGTCAATTGGTCTTATCATGAGGCGAACAGACTTGAGAGAGTAGTATCCTCCTCCATACTCGGCCCAGAAGACCCCGTCCTGAAATTTACTGCGGTAGACTCCTCCGCTGTACCACACCCCGTTCAAGTTGGTCTGACCACAGGCGTTGTACCACCAGCCACCCTTATGGAAGTGAGCACAGTTTCCTGAAAAATAAAAAAAAACAATATTATCTACATTTACTGTACATTACAGCCAATGCTATCCTAAGAAATAGACCTTTTGATTTGTCTATATATACAGTGCCTTGCGAAACTATTCGGCGCCCTTGAACCTTTCAACATTTCACAACATTTCAGGCTTCAAACATAAAAATATAAAAATTAAATTTTTTGTCAAAAATCAACAAGTGGGACACAATCGTGAAGTGGAACAAAATGTATTGGATAATTTAAACTTTTTTAACAAATAAAAAACTGAAAAGTGGGGCGTGCAATATTATTCGGCCCCCTTGCGCTAATACTTTGTAGCGCCACCTTTTGCTGCAATTACAGCTGTAAGTCGCTTGGGGTATGTCTCTATCAGTTTTGCACATCGAGAGACTGGAATTCTTGCCCATTCTTCCTTGAAAAATAGCTCGAGCTCAGTGAGGTTGGATGGAGAGCGTTTGTAAACAGCAGTCTTCAGCTCTTTCCACAGATTCTCGAATGGATTCAGGTCTGGACTTTGACTTGGCCATTCTAACACCTGGATACGTCTATTTGTGAACCATTCCATTGTAGATTTGGCTTTATGTTTTGGATCATTGTCCTGTTGGAAGATAAATCTCCGTCCCAGTCTCAGGTCTTTTGCAGACTGCAGCAGGTTTTCTTCCAGAATGGTCCTGTATTTGGCTCCATCCATCTTCCCATCAATTTTAGCCATCTTCCCTGTCCCTGCTGAAGAAAAGCAGGCCCAAACCATGATGCTGCCACCACCATGTTTGACAGTGGGGATGGTGTGTTCAGGGTGATGAGCTGTGTTGCTTTTACGCCAAACATATCGTTTTGCATTGTGGCCAAAAAGTTCAATTTTGGTTTCATCTGACCAGAGCACCTTCTTCACATGTTTGGTGTGTCTCCCAGGTGACTTGTGGCAAACTTTAAACAAGACTTTTTATGGATATCTTTGAGAAATGGCTTTCTTCTTGCCACTCTTCCATAAAGGCCAGATTTGTGCAGTGCACGACTGATTGTTGTCCTATGGACAAACTCTCCCACCTCAGCTGTAGCTCTCTGTAGTTCATCCAGAGTGATCATGGGCCTCTTGGCTGCATCTCTGATCAGTCTTCTCCTTGTTTGAGATGAAAGTTTGGAGGGACGGCCAGGTCTTGGTAGATTTGCAGTGGTCTGATACTCCTTCCATTTCAATATAATTGCTTGCACAGTGCTCCTTGAGATGTTTAAAGCTTGGGAAATCTTTTTGTATCCAAATCCGGCTTTAAACTTCTCCACAACAGTATCTCGGACCTGCCTGGTGTGTTCCTTTGTCTTCATGGTTCTCTCTGCGCTTTAAACAGAACCCTGAGACTATCAAAGAGCAGATGCATGTATACGGAGACTTGATTACACACAGGTGCATTCTATTTATCATCATCAGTCATTTAGGACAACATTGGATCATTCAAAGATCCTCACTGAACTTCTGGAGTGAGTTTGCTGCACTGAAAGTAAAGGGGCCGAATAATATTGCACGCCCCACTTTTCCGTTTATTTGTTAAAAAAGTTTAAATTATCCAATACATTTTATTCCACTTCACGATTGTGTCCCACTTGTTGTTGATTCATGACAAAAATTAAAATTATATATCTTTATGTTTGAAGCCTGAAATGTGGCAAAATGTTGAAAGGTTCAAGGGGGCCGAATACTTTCGCAAGGCACTGTAAATGCCATGATTACTGATATTTTGTTTACAATGCTGTCTTTTGACAACTATTTTGGTATGGTTGGCTCCAGTAGAGCATTTGACCCATTCTTCATTGCCTTTGGGCAACTACAATCTGTTTTCACAGCTAGCTTGCACATAATATATGCATTTACAGTAACTGTTTTGTTTTCTCGTAATAACCTGTACAGCACAAGAAACATTCATCATACAAAGACCATAGACCTCACCAGTAAAAGTGTCCTTGTCCCGGTCCAGTGTGGTGAACTGTTTCCCATTGTTGCTGGTGAAGGAGTCTCCCGCATTGCCCTGGTATGTCCCCAGTCTGAGCCGATAGCCATCACTCTCAGACTCCAAACGGAAGCTGCTGTACTCCGCGTAAACCTTCTTCCCCGTCCAGTCCTCCAGCTCTATCATCATCCTGTAATCTCCCTGTTTTGCTAAATTATAGATATTGTCCAGTCCCAGCCAATGCTCTCCATCAATGTTGCCAAATCCTTTCTGTTGGTGAGAAAAAGATCAATCAGATTTGTATAAACTGCAATATTTGCAGTCCGTTTGCACCTGATCATAGGACTTTGTTTTGCCAAATATGACTAAGAAAGCACATGGAGAAAGGAGTGATTTGGATATAACTCATATATTGCTTTATCGATTGGGAAAATTACAATCTGTACTACTTTCGTAATTAAAGTCTTGATATTAGATTGACAGAATGTATTGCATTCATTATTATTACAATAATGAGAACCATGTTTCTGATTTAGTATGTTAAACCCAGTGTGTTGCAACCTTCAGATTGCGTATTGAGAATGTGTATTGAAAACACAGGGGATATTATAATGCAGTTAAAAAATATAGTTCGAGGAGCAGTGATCCATTGAGAATGTTCAATTTATTTTTGGTGCTATAGCAGTGAGAGTGACTGACAATTTCAGTGCTTTTGATACCCAAACCATATTTGACCAAATATTAGCATTCAGCACAAGTGTTTTCATCTGTTGGGCCTTCGTTTCAGTTTTATTGCTTCTAAATCTAGCAGGGACTAAGGGCAAATGGTGTATTATTTCCTCTTTCAGAGAGACGGAAGCCCACTAAAGCCATCCTGCCTGCATTTAATGTTTACGTTTTTGGCTGCAACTTCAGTTTGGGGATATTCAAGCTGTTTACATAGGCATTCTTTGCCCCAGATGTACTGTAAAGATGTGATACCAAAAGCTGTGATTATGTATTAAACAGGGTTAAGTCCCAGATATGACATGTCTTTCAGTTCTCTGTTTGTAGATTTGAAAGCCTTTCTTTTTTTTTTGCTTCAGAGCTACTTCAGGTGTTGCTGACTATTGGTGTGGACAATGGCTTTGGTCTTATTTTCACTTGCATTCCTTCTTTATAGATAATTGTATTGGTAAATGGAGCTAAATGGTTTTATGCCTGTTACATGCCTTGTAGTTGTCCCAGTTCCTGAAGAAATTCACAGAGCCATCTTTCCTGCGCTGTAGCACAGTCCAACCCCCATTGTCCAGGTTGTGCTCACACCAGGCCTGTATGAGCCGCTCACTGCCCTCAGTCTTCAGCAGGTACATCCCACTGGTGCTGTATCCAGCCTGACGCACCTGGTAGCAGTCTTTGAATGGACCTATGGAGAACAGATAAAGGGATTTGTCTTTACTTCATGAGATTTATATGCATCAAGAGTTGGAAAACAGTCACAGGAATGAAATGTTCAAAGGAACGAAATGCACTTCATGTATTTTATTTGTATAAAAAAAAAAAAAACTTCTGATAGCAAAAAGACAGGAAATGTGCAAACAGCCGCAAATTTGCAAAGATATGGAGTATCTTTTGTGCAATAAAGGTATATTATGTCAAATTAAAATGTGACTAGTGCAAGTTTGCAGTCCTAGTGAGGAAGTAAGTAATTATTATTTATAGAGCGCATTTTACAGATCAAGGTCCCCCAAAGCACTACAATTGTTCAGATTGCTGCGTGCAGGTCATCATTTAGTGACTTATTGTACAGTCTGATAGCGTTCGGGATGAAGGCCCTGCGGTTGCGCTCCTTCTTCCACTGAGGGTGCCTCAGTCTCCGACTGAAGGAGCTCCTTATGCTGTCCATGAGGTGAGTTTGGCTAATGCCCTCCTGGCGGCCCAGAGCCGAGCTAGCCCTCCGCTGTTCAGTCTATTCCTCTCACGTTGGGTGCTGCCCGAGATCCAGCACACGGCAGTGTAGTGGTTCGCAGTAATTACTTGTCCACTACAGTGAGGCTTGCCTCTCCATAGATATGAGCTATCCAGAGTTGACAGTGGCAGTATACGTTTTAACATAATTCTGTGGACCATTCCAGGAAACGTTTTACAGAATCCAAGGCAAGTGGCGGACCCTCCAACAGTGTTGTGGAATGCATCTTCAACACATTTTCTCACTTGCATTTCTCAAAGCAATGCATACTGTTCTTCTTATCAATTTTTTTTCCCCTTCAAGATTTTGACTTCTTAAATGCATATGTTGAAGGCATGTTTATTTAACTTGAATCTACAGACAATATTTTAATGGATTTATCCCCGTGGTTTTATTCCTCTAAAAATATTTCCCTTTTGGATTCAATGTCCGAATCCCTGTGTCAGGAAGTTTCAGTGGAAAAAAGCCACATTTGCCTCTATTTTTCCACAATTTGCATCAAATTATTGAGATATTTTTTCATGAGTCTATTTGTTAAGATTAATGAACCTCTAAAGATATAATTGGCATGAAACCCTATTCCATCTTCTAGTATGTTGCTGTTCATAACAGCAAAGTTAAACCATATTCTGTTTCTTTTGTGTGACCACTAGTTTAAATGGAATAAACACTGGCTTTGTGCTCAAAGATTTTCAGTCCAGAAGCTCATACAGGGACCATGTGTATTACCCAGAAGGAGACATCAGAAACAGCTTATATTTCAAGAACATTCCATCTGTTCTGTCACCTGATGGAGTGCACAGGTCAGTTTGGTTAGATATGTGACAGGAAAGAGAAACAGTTCAACCCTAGGAGTAATAATGGCTTGAAATGGTACTCTGTTACATAGTATGGTTACACTTGTTTGTTTATAGTTTGTGAAGCTGTACCTTGTCAACCCCAAGTACCCTGTGGTGAACTCTGAACTATTACCCAATTTGTAACTCCAAAGGTAGATATATTTTAACTCTAGACAAGGAGCCATATATTTTACTAGCAGGGTTTTGGTTTCAACAGATGTGTTTTTGCACTGATTACAAATGCAAAAGGTTGCTCTGACATGTTGGTTTAAGAATGTTTGTTTGCTTTGAAACAGCAATGGGAAACTAAGGATGTCTCGATTTAGGTATTTTTGCTTTCAAACCAATACTACTGAGTTACAATCCACATCTGATTTTATCCTGTTCCAATACAGATATTACTTATATGTATTCTTTGATGTTTTTATTCAGACATATACACAGAAAGTATGTATTTCTAAAATGGGAGCTCATGTAGCATCGATTGCTTGCTCACTCATGCAATCTGCAAAGCCATATAAGAGTTCCTTTATTCGTCCCACAGTGGGGAAATTTCGAAAGCTAAGGTCAATTTGACAAACAGTCAGCGAGATATGGGAGCCACAGATTCCCACAGACGCACATGCGTTATAGATAAACATAGTCTAGTACGACCACATAGCACCACCATATTTAAAAAAGTTTTAATCTTTTAAAACAGAAGTCATTTAAAAAAATGTAGAATGGCTTGACTGATCGGTAAAGACTAGACCATTAATCAGTACTCTGTTTCTTAAGGCAGAGTACTTTTCTGATATTTGCTATATTTTATGGTCCATTTCGATTCACATTATTCAGTACATCCCTAATCACTCAAGTTCAATACTTAATAAATAATACTTAAGCTTAAATGAGTGAAGATGTGTGCCCTAATTAAACTTGATAACTGTGATGATGAATGTTATTCTCTTTATTTGTATTTTGTCTGTCTGCCTCCACATTGCACTTTGAGGTGGGCTCCTGCACCAATTTGCATAAAGCTGTAAATCATAAAAGAGTGTGGACGTCTTGGCCCTAAAGAATAACCATTAATGTAATGCGAGCTAACTTATCAGTGATAATTGTGAGAGCTGTTTGAGACATACCATCAGAGGTGAGAGTGCCATCTGGAGCAGGATTGTCTCCTAAAGGAGTTGCCGTCGGAGAGTTCTTTCGGGACCCCCGGGTAAAGGCCCTGTTAACTCTTGGTATCTCATTGTTGAGGCGATTATTGACGGGTATGTTTTGGGGGACCACCTGGACCAGCGGTGGAACAACAGGCAGCTCACTGCGCCCAATAGTCCTCATGCACTGCTCCTCCAGTGCAGTGATGAGTACAGACTGGTTGTTGACTACAGCGGCCATATTAGAGTAGCGCGCCTCTAGCTCCCTGTAGCGGGAGGCAAGCCGCATCATCTCTGAGGTTACATTCAGGACGCGGTTTTCCAGCTGGGCCAGTTCCAAAGAGTTGTCCCGTTTGCGGATGATCTCATGCAGCAGCTGCATGTAGAGTTGGGTCACTCTGGAGTTCATGTTCCTGCTCTCCTTTCTGAGCAGTTTCATCTCATTCACCAAATTCCCGTCCACATCCACCACCAGCTGCAGGGTTTCAATCTCACGCCGCTGTTTGTTGAGTACTTCCCGCACATCTGCAATGTCCATACGAGTCACTCGGTCCTTGTCTGGCTCCGGGCCGGTGGTGCTGGCACAGATCGGCCCTGTTGACAGACATGGAATATTAGGGAGGTTGTACAGGAAACAAGAGCTAATTCAAACATAGGCAGATATATGGCTCAAACTAAAGCCGAAGAATAACTTTGTGGACCTGTGATCCTCTGCTCTGGAACCAAGAATGTATAAGAACATTTTTTTGCATCAGGATCAATGGGAGACCGTTTCCTCCGCTGCAGGGATGGCTCCCTGCTCCTGTGGGCTTCCCTGGGGGTCCGACAGTAACTTTGATCCCAGACAGAGAGGCAGAGAAGTGAGCACAGAGCCCACCTCAGCCCTTGCATGTCTGCTGCTGCTCAGAACACTACCAGGCTTCACTGAAAACACACAGAAAGAACTTTTGTCAGCAATGTTAATGTAAACACATTCAATGTTTATTAGGCTCTTGCCTGAGTCAAGCAATTAGTACCACATGCCTTAATCAAATGTATTTGTCATACAAATTACAAATAAACAAACCATCAGCAACTGTTTAGAAAATAGTTTGCTCTGACTCCAGTAGCACATTATTCAGCTCATTGTTTCACATTGGGCTGTCTTTGAATTGAAAGATGACTCTTTAAATCCAGCCCAAAGCATGAGGTCTGCTTTGTGTCCTGGACAGACGTGTTATACTGTTCTGTTGTAAATCGTCCTCTTTGTTGCAAGTGTTAGCTTATTGTTTAAATCTTTTATAAGGCTTGTTTTCTATGTGGTCATTCTCATTACATCACAAAACCAATTTCCCCTAGTGGGACAATAAAGACAACTTGAACTTATATTATTATTCATTTTTTATGTATTATTATTTATTTTTTAAATGATTAAATTTACTTAAACGTTTAAACAGCTTCCCTTTTCACAGACCCAAAACAAACTGAAAACCGCTTAATGATTTAAGTCTCAAAGCCTGAATATCTTTTGGACACTTGAGCCTTGACTGTATATTCCATGAGCATAAGTGGACTTATGGCTTCCCTTCAAACAATGTTTGCTGCTCTCAACTCTCAACAAATGACCATGGACTCTCTAAGTCTGCTCTGTGAAACCTTCATTTATCCAACTGGAATAAAGTCCACCAGGCCCTATTTTTGATTAATTTAATTAGAAACATGCAACAAAAAAACAGTAATAGTTTGAGATTCCATCCATACATAAAGATGAAACATTTATCTAAAAAACTTAATGTAACTTGGAAGGTAAAAGTAAATTAAACTATGTGAGGGCTATGATACCATTTGTACTTCTGTTTCTCATTAATGTCACCAGGGACTCCAAATACACGCATGCTGATCTAGTTAGCTTTGAGCAAGAGTTATCCGACTGCTCTGTTCAACCCATCCCTGTCTATTCTTCATATTAAGTTTCCAAACTTCTTCCACAAGACGTCATTGTGGTTCATGAGGAAAGCCTCTGTCACTTGGAACAACTATACATACATAAGTTCTTTTACATAATATGACAAATGTGTGCAGTTTGAGGTTTGCAATGCATTGCTCTTATTTTAGTTTGTCTACGCATGTATTGATACAAAAAACGTCTTCAAGTTAGAGTATACGAAACTCAATAGTTTATTGGATAAAAACTATTTACTTTCTTTCCGCTGTGTCAGCTGTGTGTCCATCTGGTTGATGGAAAGTCTACACAAAAACATAATTCATTTTCATGGCTTGTTTTTTTCCAGCCAACAGGTTGCCAGGTACTGTATCCTTGTAGAACTCGTGTCTTTAATGGTTTTAGCAGAAACATCAATGTGTCCCTACTTCTAAATGTTCTTTCTTTTCCCCTTATTCTTTAGTCGTACTCAGCATTATCTTAATCTACAAACCACCACTGTCTCTTTAGGGGCTATAGAAAGTGACTTTACAGATTATCCATCTGGCATCACCTCATTTATTTTACAATGTCTAGTCGTCATCTTGTTCTCTGGCTCAATCCATCCTGTTCCACTGGATCCATATTTCCTTTTGTTTTGTGCTGTGGGAGACCTACGTAGTGCTGTTTGATTTTCATGGGGCTAAATCAAAGGCATTCCTATGAACACCAAAAGGTCACCAGGGTTTACAGAGGTTTCCCTTCCACAAGTTTATTATTATTTATTTTTTTATGTTTATGGACTAAAATAAAATACTGAATAAACAAACCCAACTATTTCTGATCATGGTAATGCCTTTAACAATCACAATGTATTGAAAACAAAAATTAAACTTAGACCGCATGTCTTTAAAAGCCCAAATCCACTTTATCAATATAATAATAATTGTGATTTGTGTTTGTATTTTATTGTTCTGGGGCAGACAAGCCACAGCGATGGAAACGACAAGGAATGTCTGATCAAAACTGGGTCACCTTGCTCTCTCTGCGACTTGAAGATATTTTTTTGGGATTAGTCATTTTATTGAATGCATTCCTGCCAGATGGCAGATCTGTACAATAATAATAATAATGCATCGATTTTATATAGCGCTTTTTTGGACACTCAAAGACGCTTTACATTCATTTACGCCATACACGGTGATAAACTACTACTGTAGCCTTTGACAGAAGCGAGGCAACCAGTATGCGCCATTGGCCCCTCCAACCACCACCAACCATTCACACACACACCAGGCTCATTCTGGGCAATAGGGGTGAAGTGTCTTGCCTAAGGACACAACGACAGTTTGGCACTTTACAGCCGCAGCCGCCCGACTGTGGCTGGTGTTCCCAGAGGTTAAGTGGGTTGCCAAGGACACAACGACAGCAGACAGAGGGAGTCGATGGGGAAGGTCGGGCTCGAACCTACAACCCTCTGGCTCAAAGGCCAATGCTCTACCAACTGAGCTACTGTTTCCCTATGTATTCTCTGTCAATAGGTTTCAGAATTATCACAGATTAGCACAAGTCAAAATGAAATGGTATTATTATTTGAGTTATTCCTAAAATATAATTAAAATGAAAGCAGGGAATTCATCACATTCGTATTTAAAAAGCATTTATCTGTTAACCTGTGGTTTGTTATGACCTAAAGGACTCCTTTCTGCTGTGTGTTTTGGCAATAGCTTAAACTCAATTTGTCTAAGTGCACAGCAGGGTCCTCAACAGCGCAATTAGAGTAAATGGCCAAGTGTCATGTGCCTGCTGGCTTTTATTGTCCCACACTCTGTTGTATCTTTAGTACTGCGATATTTTACATTCACACATTGTAAGACACTTTAGATTGAGCAACTTTCTGAAGTATTTGTATTAAGTTATGATCTCACTTTTTCCGAACATAGCCATCTACAACGGCGAGTACTTCACTGTGCTTTTCTTCAAATAACATTACTGAAATTCTCGTAAAAGTTTGATCTCTGTCTGAATTTCAAGTTCAAAAGTTCCATGCCTCCATTTTAAGTGTAAATCAGTATCTCTTTTCCTGGCATTTCTCATTTTTCTATATCGTTAGACAGATATGTTTATACTACAGACAGCTGGTTGTCTTCACTTAGAAAGCACATTATCTGTAAGTTATGGGATGTTTTGTCTAGAGGTCTAATGGAACTCCTGTAGCCCCTAGACTCCAGGTCCCACCATATGCAACGAGTTTGCAAAATTAACCAATTCCAGAAAATGTCTGCAGTTTGATGTGTGGCTTGCAGTATTGTCAGCTTTTTGTTAGTTTTATAGATTTGAAATTGTCCAGAGATTTTCCCTTGAGCCTAATGCTAAAAACACTGCGTATGGTAATTGCTTTCTGCTTATGTTGTAAGGAAATGACAATCCATCTGATTGAGCTAACAAAGCTAATGGTAAAGCTAGTCAGGAAATTGGTTGCTTTCCTTCATTAGTTAGGTGCAATATAAGAAATACAGAGCTGTGTCTTGGCTTCAAATTATATACTGACAGCCCAAAAAGTTTAGGTCTCATGATTTGAGGTGAAATTGTTGTATAAAAACATTGCTGTATATCTTTGTAGTAATGAACGTCCAAAAATCTGTAACCTCAGGCGGATTACAATATCTTGTGACACAGAAACTATTTAATGGGCAAAATGTTGATATCTTAAAGATTGCTGATCATGGGTTCTGTATTCATACTGATGTCAGTGTGAAAGCTGATAGATTACATTTCAACAACAAAAGAAAAAACGCTTGGACCTGAACTTAGTATTCATGAGGTCTTTTTTGTCATAGCCAATGTATTTCCTAGTCACAAAAACTGACTCTTCCACTCTACAGTGCAAGCTCCTCACACTTTCCCATTGCAAAGCCAATGCATCCAAAAAACACATCACATCCATCACTGCTCAGCAAAGAATTGCTGAAAACAAGAGAACAAAATAGAATTTTGGAAAGTGACAAAAGAGAAAATGGATGGAAACCCTGGCTTTGTTTTACGCAACATGACAACATTCATTCATATGTCGTGGGATGCACTTTCTTTCCCTGGGTCCTCTGCACCCAGTTTGTATAGATACTGGATTTAGTTATTCCTTTTAAGGAATTGGGGTCATATGAATATCTGCTTCATCCAATTCCTTTAGTGACATTGATGAGAAGAGATGGCGCCTCGTACGGTCGCCACGGCTCTTTGCTGCTCTCTTTTGCTTTTGTTTTGCCCATCATACGTCACTTTACTTCACTGTACTGCTGTCACCTTACATTGTGTGCACCATGTGCACTTGTATATTGTAAATAGTTACTGTAACTCTATTTTAAATTTAAATGTATTCCTTAGAAGTGTTTTTCATTTTTTATTATCTCTTTCTGACTGTTGCACTGAGGCAAAGCAATTTCCAAGTCTGTGACTTCCTGTTACTTACGTGGCAATAAAAATTATTCTGATTCTGATTGCTATTAATTTCTCCTACTCATATTAAATATCCAGGAATATAAGGTGCATATAGGCAAATTACCTGTCCCATTTGTAGATTTTATTACTATATATGATATATAGTCATACTATCACTTGTTTTGCTAAATCCATACATTCTCTATTTGGACTAACCTGCTCACAGACGTAGCATTATGTATCATTATGTATCATGCAACCAAGTCCAAAGTAAAGGAGAATGATAAAGTAGCTATGAGCTAATTAAATAATGTTGGACTCCTGCCTTTTTGTCACTGACTCTCCCATACACATGATGGACTCCCCAAAGCTGTGCCCCCATCTGGTCTCCCTCTGCTGTAGTGAAACTCCAAACATGTGGGCTGATCTTGGGGCCAGAGGTCAACATATGAGGGCCGCTGTTAGTGTGTGGGATTAGGGTGCAGTTTGCTCCCAGCCCTCTCCCCATCCTGAAATCCTGCAATCAATCGGTCTTTGTAGGAGGAGAGTGCTT